GTACTGTCATAAAAACAGGCACATGGACCAATGGAACCAAACAGAGAGCCCAGAAATAAACCCAAGTCTCTATGGTCAATTAATATTTGACAAAGGAAGCAGCAACATAATATGGAATAAAAATAGCCTCTTCAACAAATGGTGTTGGGAGAACTGGACAGCTACATGCAAAAAAATGAAACTCGAGCACCAACTTACACGTTATACAAAAATAAATTCAAGGTGAATAAAAGACTTAAATATAAACCGTGACACCATTAAAGTCCTAGAAGAGAACGTAGGCAGGAAAATCTCAGATATTTCATGCAGAACCTTTTTTACTGACAAGTCTCCTAGAGCAAGGGACATAAAGGGAAGAATAAACAAATGGGACCTCATCAAAATAAAAAGCTTTTGCACAGCTAAAGAAAACAGTATCAAAATAAAAAGAGAACCAACTGTATGGGAAAACATATTTGCCAATGATACCTCAGACAAGGGTTTAATCTCCAAAATATATAAAGAACTTACACAACTCCACTCTAAGAAGATAAGTAACCCAATTTAAAAAATAACCCTCGCTGGCGTAGCTCAGTGGACTGAACGCGGGCTGGGCACCAAAGTGTCCCAGGTTCGATTCCCAGCTAGGGCACATTCCTAGGTTGCAGGCCATAATCCCCAGCAACCGCACATTGATGTTTCTCTCTCTCTCTCTCTCTCTCTCTCTCTCTCTCTCTCTCTCTCTCTCTCCCCACCCCCTCCCTTCCCTCCCTAAAAATAAATAAATAAAATCTTAAAAAAAAAACATTAAAAAAAAATGGGCAAAGGACTTGAACAGACACTTCTCCAAGGAGGATATACAGAAAATCCAAAGACACATGAAACGATGTTCAATATCGCTAGCTATCAGAGACATGCAGATTAAAACCACAATGAGATACCACTTCACACCAGTCAGAATGGCCATCATAAACAAAGCAACAAACAACAAGTGTTGGAGAGGTTGTGGAGAAAAGGGGACCCTAGTGCACTGTTGGTGGGACTGCAGACTGGTACAACCACTATGGAAAGCAGTATGGAACTTCCTCAGAAAACTGAAGATAGATCTGCCTTTTGACCCAGCAATTCCACTGCTGGGACTCTATCCTAAGAACACTGAAACACCAATACAAAAGAACCTTTGCACCCCAATGTTCATAGCAGCATAATTTAGAATAGCTAGGTGCTGGAAGCAACCTAGATGCCCATCAGTAAATGAATGGATCAAAAAACTATGGTACATTTACACAATGGAATTCTATGCAGCAGAAAGAAAGAAGGAGCTCCTACCATTTACAACAGCTTGGATGGAGCTGGAAAGCATTATGCTAAGCGAAACAAGCCAGGCAGCAAAAGACAAATACCACATGATATCACCTTTAACAGGAACCTAAACAACAAAACAAACAAACAAGCAAAATATAACCAAACACACTGAAATAGGGGACAGACTGACAGTGACCAGAGGGGAGAGAAGAGGGAATTTCAGGGGGGAATGAGTAGGGTTTACAGGAACAAATTTAAAGGACACATGGACAAAAACTAGGGGTGGGGGTAATGAGAGGGAAGTAAGGAGGGTTGGGTGGGTGGGCTGGAATGGGAGTAAATGGAAGAAAACTGTACTTGAACAATTATTTTAAATATAACTGCAAAAAAAAGAATAAACTATGCATATACTTCAACTTGAAAGGATGTTTCTGCTGTATGTTTAAGTAAGAAATAAAACATATATATTACTGTTCATATTATTGTGAGATGGAATGGAATAGATGGACAGGTGGATAGGTATCCATAGATGGATAGACAGGTAGGTTTTCTACATATGTGCTTCCATGTATGAACATATTAAATTTTTTATGACTGGCTGGGCTAGACAATCTTTGGAGAAAGATTTTTCACCCATTTATGAATTATTTCACTTGTAAAAATAAGTATGTTTTACTTTTAGAAAAGTTTTACTTTTATTCTTTAAAAGTAAAAAATTAAAATTAAAATAAAATAAAGAAAAGATTCAACCTGCTTTGAAATGCATCCAAAAATATGTTGGTTTGAGCGTTATAGAGGGTGTCAAAGAGACAGAAGTAAGATAAAGAAAGGATAATGAAATGTCAGAGGCATAATTGAGGTAGATAGTACACGAATATTTGCTGTACCACTTGAACATGTACTCAATAACCTTTGAGAAAAAAAACTAACTTGAAATGATGATGATGACGATGATGATGATGTTGATGGCAGGTATGATAGATATAGATAGATGTGGATGAGTGGGTGGGTGGGAGGATAAATAATCAGACAGACAAGGCCTCTGACCACAGGACAAAGTGAATTCATAATGTGACAGGTGACTTGCTTCTTCCTGTATTGCCCAAGCTCCAGGCATGCTTTTTTTAATCATCCCAACAGCACACCTTCTGAGTCATTTAATCTTATGCTGGGGCCACTGCAGTATGTGCTCTAGAGTGAATTCTAAGTCTGGGCAATACATAGATCTATGGAAGGTTTGGGGCCTCACAAGCACCTGGTATCCCAGGGTCATAAGAGAAACCCCCCTACCTCTTGGGGTATCTCTCCCCAATCCATATAGGAATTCTGATCATAGGCTGCCACCCACCAATTCCTATAGAATTCCCAGATTTTTCATTACCTACTATTACTGTCATAACAATACTGTGAGGGTTTTCTCCTTTTAAGAAAGCCAAGGCACAGAGTGAGTGGTCATGTCACCTAATTTGGGGTCTCTACCCTAGAAAGCAGTAGGGTTTCAGTTTCAGGTGTGCTCCTAAGCTCACACTCTTGACACTTCTACTCATGTGGCTGTTTGTACAGGTGAGGGGGAGGCAGGGCTTCTGACTCCATCCCAACTCCAAACTCAACCTCACAGATCATACTGGAACTCTTGGTAGCCCCTGGGCCAATGGGCAGCAGGGCCACTGGGAAGATGGACAGAGCGACTTGGATCCCACTCTGGGACTTGCACAGAACATGTTCTCCTCAGCTGCTGCCACCAGGGAGCCAGGACACCTTGGCTCTTGGAAAGTATAGAGCACTCTGGGGACAGAATTTTCTCCCACTAAGCTCAGACCACACCAAAGGAGAACCAGTTGCTTCTCCTTGCAGGCACTATTTAACTTAGGCAACCTAGTGACTCATAACAAACTCCAGTTCAGGGTCTCCTCCATGAGGCTCTGGGCCATTCACATCAATCAAGGCACAGCAACAGTTCCAGGCATCTCATCCTGAGACTGCATTTTAATGAGTCCAGGGGAAGCACTTTCCCCCAAAAGAGACTTGTTCCAGTTAACCTTCACACCTACCTTTCCTGATCCACAGGGTCTGCCTGGGGTCAAGCTGTGATGGGAAAGTATCCTCAGAAGACCAGAATGCTCAGAGCTGTGATTCCTCATATGAAGTGGAGCGTAAGGACCAGTTTTTGCAGTGGGGACTAAGGAGGCTTATTATTATTATTATTATTATTATTATTATTATTATTATTATTATTATTATAAATCAGACTCATTTCATTGGCTGCAAAAGATGGAGTGATGTGACCATATGTCACTTGGGCATTAAACAAATCCTAATGAGCTAAAAATATGTTTCTTTTATCTAATTGACCTCTTTGGCCTTCATAAACCACTTGGTAAACATCCTCAGATAATGATTTCCAGAGAGCAGATTGTGGCTCTCCTGTATGCTGAGAAAGCCTCCCACCTCCATCCCCTAGGCCACCTCCTCTGGCTGCCTGCTGAGGCATACATGTTGCCTGCCTGCTGTCTGCACACCATACAAAGTGTGTGCTGGAGTTGACAGGGAGAAGTGAGAGAAACAGATCCAGGCCACTTTCCTGAATCTGTCCTAGGGTGCTTTCCCAAATGTGTGATTGTGATTTGAGTAGTACTTGTCTATAGCCATAGTTGTCTCATCTGTTAAGTAAGGGAAATGCCCAACCTGGAGGGATACAGAGAAAACACAGGGTTCTAAGCTGTAAGCACGACCCATGTCACTTCTGTGTGAAGGAGCAGGAACTGGGAACATGAGGGTCCAACCATTGATTCAGCAGTTGATGCATGTGTTTCATGCAGGTGGGGAGAGTCATCTAGATACCAGTGAGGCCTGGGACCAACAGGGACCCAAGTACTACTACTCAGTTCTCTTTGTGAGCAGTGGGCAGTAGACCGAGCTCTCAATCAATATGAGGATGGATGCTCCTCAGATCTAAACTAACTTCATTTGACCTTGAATCACTGGCTCCATGATGTCCTCACTCACCAAACCCACCACTGAGGTCCAGACATGTCATTCCTATCACTTGGAAGCTGTTGGGAGGACCACTTTTGTTCTGTGGAGGCATTAACAGGACATAGGAATAAACTTCAAGTCCTGAAGTTGATGGGGCCCTAGGACTCAACCTCTGCACTATCTGAGATGACCTTGCAGGCTTCTTCTCTCCACCCCTACATCCCCCCACTTACTGAACTGTTTCTTCAGCTATAAAACAGAGTTAATATCTACTAGGGAGAATGTATCAGTAATTAAGTGCTTCCTTCTTGCTTCATAATTATGAAGAACTTTACACATGTTTTCTCACTTAATTGCATAATAAGTGATTCCTAAGTCCACAGCAGAGAGTGGCAGAACCAGACCTCCAACAAATTCTACTTAATTCCAGAGGCATGGATCACCCAGTGCAGTGGGCAAATGCTATTTACTTGCAAGATAATAACTCCATTTTGCAAGGAATACCGTCAATCTATAAAGTGTGGAGCACAGTACCTGCCTATGGCAGAAACCCAAAATAAATGGTAGTTATTCAAATTATTATGCACAGAGGTGACACAATGAGATTCAACATAGCTTCTGGGTCAAACCACCCCTTCTTCCCAGCCCTCAAGGCTGATGAGCTCGAATTAGACAGGATTAAAGGCTTACTGGAGGTGGAAGCTGCACCTCAACTCCCACATTTAGCCTCAGACCTTCTGCCTGCCAGCTGAGAAGGACAAAGGAAGGCAGCCACACAGGGCAGTGCTGTGTCCTTGCCCATGGTCAAGGGAACTTTGTGCAGGAGCCAGCCTTCCTGGTTTCCCATGAAGAGAGAATGGACTCTGCTCTTGTCCATGCTGCTCTTTGGCCTGGCTGGCCCCACACATCTCTTCCAGCCAAGCCTCGTACTGGATATGGCCAAAGTCCTCTTAGATAACTACTGCTTCCCGGAGAACCTGATGGGGATGGAGGAAGCCATCAAGCAGGCCATCAAAAGTGGTGAGATCCTGGGCATCTCAGATCCTCAGACACTGGCCCATGTCCTGACAGTCGGGGTGCAGAGCTCCTTGAATGACCCTCATCTGGTCATCTCCTATGAGCCCAGTGCCCTCACAGCTCCTCAGAAAATCACAGCACTCACCAGCCTCACACAAGAGGAACTATTTGCCCAGCTGCAAAAGGACATCCACCACAACGTTCTGGAGAGCAATGTGGGCTACTTGCGGGTGGATGACATACCAAGCCAGGAGGTGTTGAGCAAACTTGGGGACTTCCTGGTGGCCAATATCTGGAGGAAACTCCTGGGCACCTCCGCCTTGGTGCTAGACCTCAGACACTGCACTAGAGGCCATGTTTCTGGTATCCCCTATGTCATCTCCTACTTGCACCCAGGAAACACGGTCCTGCATGTGGACACCATCTATAACCGCCCCTCCAATACAACCACTGAGATCTGGACCCTCCCCCAGGTCCTGGGAGAGAGGTATAGTGCTGACAAGGATGTTGTGGTCCTCACCAGTGGCCACACTGGAGGAGTGGCTGAGGACATTGCTTACATCCTCAAACAGATGCGCAGGGCCACTGTGGTGGGTGAGCGGACCGTGGGGGGTGCCCTGGACCTCCAGAAACTGAGGATAGGCCACTCTGATTTTTTCCTCACTCTACCTGTGTCCAGGTCCTTGGGGCCCCTTGGTGGGGGCAGCCAGATGTGGGAGGGCAGTGGGGTGCTTCCCTCTGTGGGGATACCAGCTGAGCAGGCCCTAGAGAAGGCCCTGGCCATTCTCACACTGCGCAGGGCCCTGCCAGAAGTCATGCGGCACCTGCAGGAGGCCCTGCAGGACTACTACACCCTGGTGGACCACGTGCCTGCCCTCCTGCACCACCTGGCCAGCATGGACTTCACCATGGTGGTCTCTGAGGAGGATCTGATCACGAAGCTCAACGCTGATTTGCAGGCTGTGTCTGAGGACCCTAGGCTCCTGGTACGGCCCATCAGGCCCAAAGAAACCTCTTCTGGGCCTGAGGCTGGAGCCGATGACCTACTAGAGGTAGCCCCAGCAATGCCAGAGGATGAGGTTGCCCGGCAGACCCTGGTGGACTCTGTGTTCCAGGTGTCAGTGCTGGCAGGCAATGTGGGTTACCTGCGTTTTGACAGGTTTGCTGATGCCTCTGTGCTCAGAGCACTAAGCCCATACATCCTACGCCAGGTGTGGGACCCTCTGCAGGACACAGAACACCTTATCCTGGACCTGCGTCAGAACACTGGGGGGCCATCCTCAGCTGTGCCCCTGCTGCTGTCCTACTTCCAGGGCCCTGAGGCCAGCCCTGTACACCTCTTCACCACCTATGATCGCCGCACCAATGTCACCCAGGAGCACTTCAGCTGCACAGAGCTGCTGGGCCAGCGCTATGGTTCCCATCGCGGGGTATACCTGCTCACCAGCCACCGCACTGCCACAGCTGCTGAGGAACTGGCCTTTCTCATGCAGTCACTGGGCTGGGCCACGCTGGTGGGTGAGATCACTGCCGGCAGCCTGCTTCACACCCACACAGTGCCCCTGCTGGAGACCTCAGAGGGTGGCCTGGCACTCATAGTGCCTGTGCTCACCTTCATCGACAACCATGGTGAGTGCTGGCTTGGAGGCGGTGTGGTGCCTGATGCCATTGTACTGGCTGAGGAGGCCCTGGACAAAGCACTGGAGGTTCTGGAGTTCCACCGCAGCCTGGGAGCCTTGGTAAAGGGCACAGGACACCTGTTGGAGGCCCACTATGCACGGCCAGAGGTTGTTGGGAGGATAGGAGACCTGCTACGAGCCAAGCTGGCCCAGGGGGCATACCGCACAGCCGTGGACCTAGAGTCACTGGCCTCCCAGCTCACGGCTGACCTGCAGGAGATGTCTGGGGATCACCGTCTGTTGGTGTTCCACAGCCCAGGTGAGCTGACAGCAGATGATGTGCCCCTGCCACCCCCTGCCATTTTCTCTCCAGAGGAGCTCTCCTATCTCATTGAGGCCCTGTTCAAGACAGAAGTGCTCCCTGGCCTGCTGGGCTACTTGCGTTTTGATGCCATGGCTGAGCTGGAGACAGTAAAAGCCATTGGGCCACAGTTGGTACAGCTGGTGTGGCAGAGGCTGGTGGACACAGCTGCACTGGTTGTCGATCTGCGCTATAACCCTGGCAGCTACTCCACGGCTGTGCCTCTGCTGTGCTCCTACTTTTTTGAGGCAGAGCCCCTCCAGCACCTCTACTCTGTCTTTGACAGGGCCACCTCGACGGTCACGGAGGTATGGACCCTGCCTCAGTTGGCTGGTCAGCGCTATAGCCCCCACAAGGACCTTTACATCCTGATGAGCCACACCAGTGGGTCAGCAGCTGAGGCTTTTGCTCACACCATGCAGGACCTGCAGCGGGCCACAGTCATCGGGGAGCCCACTGCTGGAGGGGCGCTTTCTGTGGGCATCTACCAGGTGGGCAGCAGTCCCTTATATGCCTCCATGCCCACACAGATAGCCCTGAGTGCCAGCACAGGCACGGCCTGGGACCTGGCAGGGGTAGAGCCTGACATCACAGTGCCCATGAACGAAGCCCTCTCCACAGCCCAGGACATAGTGGCCTTGCGTTCGAAGCTGCCCACTGTGCTACAGACAACTGGGAAGCTGGTTGCTGATAACTATGCCTCCCCTGATATAGGGGCCAGGATGGCTGCCAAACTGAGTCCTCTGCATAGCCACTACTCGAGGGTGACCTCTGAAGGGGCCTTGGCTGAGATGCTGGGGGCTGACCTGCAGGTGCTTTCTGGGGATCCACACTTGAAGGTAGCCCATATCCCTGAGGATGCCAAGGACCGCATTCCTGGGATTGTGCCCATGCAGGTGAGATACAAGGGAGACTTGGCCCAGCACAGTCCCAGGAGGGAGTTGACAAGTTGTCTGTATATTCAGGGTTCTGTGTGTAGTACAAGACAAAGGCTTCCAGATTTTCACGTTTAAGTTTTTATCAGTCACATCTTTTTCTCTCTCTTACTTTGTCATCCCATCCACTCCCATGCTCATGGGGTCCCACAGTACCTCAGTTTGAAAACCCCTGTTACAGAAGAAGCTACACTCTTATCAGGGTATTTGCAGGGCTTCTCATTGTCAGTGCTGGAGAAAGAGGTCAGTAAGTCACATGAGATCTCTGTTTCCACTTTCAGAATTGTGGCCTTTCTGTTAATACCACCTGCTTGCCTCAGGGGTCTGCAGTTTGTGTGGATGAATCAAGGGGATGGAGACAGGGAAGCAAGGGAGGCCCTGGCCTCACAGTGCTTTGGAATTAAAGCATGGACAGACCCTGGCATGATCAGGGGTGGCAGGGCACAGCCCAGAGAACCACAGCAATGAGTTTTGCTTGGTTAGGTACCGGCTGCCTACTCCTCCCCTCCCATGATGCAAAGCACCGCATCCTGAAGGAGCTGTACACAGTGGGCATGTGGCCAGATCCAAGGGCCAACTGGGTGCGAAATTCTGAGTGAGGCTGCGTGGTCAGAATATTTCAAGTTTTGGGAAATACTGAAAAGGTGAATCAGTGCTGAAGAGTTTTGTGGCTGCTGCTGGGTGGATGAGGGCAAGTTCTCCAAACAAGTGGCTAAAGGAAGCCATTAAGACTCACCAAGCACTCCCATCAGGTGAAAGCTCCATCCAATGCAGCATGTACAACATCTCCCCACATTTTCTATCATCTGTGATTTCACTGCATAGTCAGGGAAGCTATTCTCTTGAGTTCCCTTAAAAGCAGGGCCTAAGACCAGGGTTTGGGCATAGACAATTTGCATGGGAGGTAGTCACTGCAGCCGGAGTGAGGGAGCAGGTGGAGTGGGAGCAAAGGAGGACAGCTGACAAGCAGGTACATTATTTGTTCCATAGGACTTGGACACTTGTGAGGAATGCCTCCCAGAGCCACCCTCTGCAGCACTTGTCCTCCATTGTCTGAGGGTTCTCCTGGGGTATATAATTGCTCTGAAACTCTAAGAAAGCTTGGAGAAAGTTCTGAAGTGAGGAGTAGAAAAACACAGGGGTGTGCTGGAGGCAGGGCCTTGTCAGCTGGGGTCCAGTTGCCACTGAAATCAGAGGAGAGCTGAGGGCACCAAAAGCATCTACTGTAAAATCATTCTTCTATTTTACAAAAACAGAAATTGAGGTCTGGAAAGGTAGAGAGAACAGTGGTCTGTGATCAAATAGCTTGTTACTGAGGCTGTGTGTCCCAGGCAACAGTGGTATCCTGACGGCTCTTTGCCCTCAGTCCAGCTCATAGAGCCTGCAGCCTTCTAGCAACCTTGAAGAGAAAGGAGGAGACTCAGGCATGTTGGGGGAGCTGAGTAAGTGCCAGGACTGCACTAGGCACACAGTGCCTTCAGATTCAAATTGGGGGCTAACTCCTTCACAGTGTAGTCAGAGTTCACATTTTGGTGTCACATGTGGATTCAGATTCTGTCCCTATGACTTACTTGGCTGTGTGACCTTGGGAAAATTTATTGAATTTCTGTGTGTTTCAGTTCCTCATTAAAAATATGGGGATTAATTGACTCCTCTACCTACAGGGTTGCCATGAGGTTGATGTTAAATGCTGCAAAGTGCCCAGCACAGGGCCAGGCCCAATAGCTAATGTTGTTTCTCCCTGCCCTGAGGTGAGGGGGTGTGGGGGCTCAGGGACATCAAGAAGTATCTGGTGAGGTCATGAGAGACAGAGTGGAAACAATGCCTGGACCTTTCAGCTCTGTACACTAGGACACGGGGTTGGCACACATGAGCATTCTTGTAAGAAGCCTGCTGACCATGCGAGGGACTATCAGAAAAGGTTCTGGTACCTACCACCTCCCTCAGAATTCCCTTTGTGTACCCTTATTATTTCTCTTGATATGAAGAAAATCTTTGGTGTCCACTTTCCCAAGCTTTAAATTCTTCTCCTTTCCTGACTCTGAACTGGACCTCTCAATCTTTCAGATCCCTTCCCCTGAAGTCTTTGAAGACCTGATCAAGTTTTCCTTCCACACTAATGTGCTTGAGGACAACATTGGCTACTTGAGGTTTGACATGTTTGGAGACTGTGAACTGCTCACCCAGGTGTCAGAGCTGCTGGTGGAACATGTGTGGAAGAAGATTGTGCACACAGATGCCATGATTATTGACATGAGGTCAGTGGGCCAACCATCAGTGGTTCTTGGCCTGACCAGGGAAGCTGCTGGAAGACAGTCAAAGTTATGGGCCTAGTAGAGACGAAAAAGGACCCTGTAACACAGGATAGGAATTGAAAGGACTAGGTCATCTGGCTATCAGGGGTTCTGGTTTAATTGGCTGGGTGAGACACCAGCACTGATAGATTTTTAAAGTTCCTCCAATGATCCCAATGTGCATTCTAGGATGAGAATTACTGAGCTAATTCAGTGGTCCCCAAATGTGCCTGGTTTTAGGACTCCTTGGAGAGGGAGAGGGAAGGCAGACATGAAGAACACTGATTCCAGTGCCCCACCCTAGCCCTACTGAGTACAAAAGCCCAGGGGTGAGGCCCAGTTGTCTATATATTTGAAAGGAATCATCCAGGTCTTTCTGATGATCAGTCCTGTTTGGGACAGTTAGGTCTCCACCTGTGGTTGTAGTTCACACTATACAAAATCAATCCATGACCACCCTGATCATAAGAATCATAAAGCCAGAGTCCCAAAGAGAATTTACAAATTAGCCTCTACTGTTGTGAAAGGAATTCTTTGCCTCACAAAATTATATTTGGAGGGATGCTTTCAGCCAGCCACTTCCTTCCTGCTTCTGTAAAGGTGTGCCTGATAGGTGTGTTTCCCTTCTAGAACAGGATCATGCTTCCCATGCCTCCCAGGTCCACCAGCAGGCTTGCCTAGGCACCCTCCATGGCAAGGGGAAGGTCTGGCTACCAGGCAGATACTGCTGGGATTGGCTAAGAAGCAGTGTCCAGCTCTGGTGGTTGGCCACAATATTCCCAGGGTTCTTAGTCATTGCTAGGTAGCTCTGGATCCCAGTAGCTGGTTCTCCTCCTTGGGGAAGAAACTGTTTCCAGGGTTCCAGTGTATGTGCTCAGAACTTCAGCTTGGGGGCTCCTGTGTGATCTCTGATCTCTTCATTCTTCAAATGCTCTATTAAACATCTGAACAAACTTCATGCTAAGTCCCTATCTGCTTAATTGTGCCATGCACATTTTTTTTTAATAAAAGGAGGTCCAGTCTATAGGTGTACTTTGTTTAAGAACCCTTCCAATCTGAGGTCTGGAAGTTCAGATGCTGAGATCATGGGCCCTGAACCCAACCAAGTCATTCCAGACCATCAACCAGAAGAGGCTCCTAACACACTGCCAGCCCCACACTCTTTGTTTCCCAATTGAAAACACAGGAGCCCAAGGAGATCATGACATGGGGCAAATCTAAACAGCCTGGGATTGGCGCAGTCTTTCTTACTTCTGATGCAGTTTCACAACTCTGAGCACTCAGCCACATTAATTGCCTCATTAGGACACCTCATCTAAGACACCTAGTAGGTTTTGTGAAAATATTGAGAATGCAATTGGGAAGACAGTGTTCCCAAGATGTTTTCCATTCACAGGAAGCATGGGTACAGGGGAGAAGTCCATGGTCAGTAAGTTAGGAAAATTTATCAAAAAGTTCCTGACCGTAGGACTTGTCAGAGCCTTTAATGTAATGTATACAGTTTGTATCATACATTGTATTACTATGTGATCAGAAGAGGTAGGTATGGTATGTAGTCTATTCTAAATGAATTTGACCACAAAGTTTCTTGCTTTCAAGAGATTGTACTCTGGGGAACTCTATCCAAGGAATCCTGTAGTATAAGGAAAGGGCACTAGACTGAGGCTGTCTGGAATTAGAACACTCCACAAGACAAAGATCTAGATCTCCCAGGGGGCACCAAGGGCCTCAGTGTGAGCTCTGTTCTCAGGGGCCTCCATTTCCTTCCCTCAGGTTCAACATTGGCGGCCCCACATCCTCCATCTCTGCCCTGTGCTCTTATTTCTTTGACAAAGGCCCTCCCATTCTGCTGGACAAAATCTACAGCCGGCCCAATGACTCTGTCAGTGAGCTCTGGACACACACCCAGCTAGCAGGTGGGTGCAAAAGTCTTTTCCTTCCTGTTCTCATTCTAGAATTTTCTGGAGAATTAAAGAAAGACAGCTTGGGGTCAGGTAAAAGTAACAGTAAGTGGAATATAAAGTCTCTATCCTATGCCATGCACTTTGCACATATGATCTTTTTTTTTAAACTTGTGCTCTCTCTTTTTTTCTTTCTTTTCTTAAAGATTTTATGTATTTCATTTTAAAGAGAGGGGAAGGGAAAGGTAAAGAGAGGGAGAGAAATATCAATGTGTGGTTGCCTCTCACGTGCCCTGTACTGAGGACCTGGCCCGCAACCCAGGCATGTGCCCTGACTGGGAATTGAACCAGCGACCCTTTGGTTCACAGGCCAGAGCTCAATCCACTGAGCCACACCAACTAGGGATGCACATATGATTTTAATCCCTGCAAAACTTGTACTATTATGCTCATTATCTAAAGGAGAAAGTCAATGTCTACTGAGTAGAATATCCTGCCTAATATCACTCAACTCATAAGTGAAAGTGCCAAAACTTAAACACTGGTTTGTCTAAAGCCAAATGCTTCCATTCTGCCCACTACAACCATCTACCTGCAAGACAGATGCAGAACCAGAAGGATCCCCCTGCAGATCACCAGACCCCACAGGGTTTCTAGTGTTCATCTAACCTGAACTCTCATCAGCAGCTCAGCACACCTACCTAAATGAAGTTCTGATGCTGACAAGGCTTCTGTTATCTGCCCTAGGCCTAGAACAGTGACCAGAGGAGCAGGGAAGTCCCCTGTGCTTCACAGAGCCATGGCCCTCCCAGCCTCGTTGCTAGTGGATAGCCTCATTCCTTCCCACTTGCCCAGCATCCAAAACCAAGGAATCTGCTCTCCCATCAACAACAGGAAGCTGGGAGACCAATAGGGGTGTGCATATAACCAGAAAAGCATCCTGAAATTTTCACTTGTGCAGTTCCTTATCACATAAACATTTGGAACTTCAAACACACATGTTCAACAATATTGCAAAATGTAAATAAAAATCAGAACCAGGTGAATTCTAAATTCAAATAGACGTTTAAGACCGGGAGTTAAAAATAGACTCAGATCTGCAGATCATAGGGTCCTAGAACTTTGATGTCCCATATCAAACCTCTGAGCATAGAAATGTGGCTCATATGATTTGTGATATGTAAAGTATAAAGAGAATGCCAGATTTTGAAGACATTTTATGAAGGGAAAGGATTTAAAATATGTCATCCATAATTTTATTAACTACATTTTTTTAAGATTTTATTTAATTATTTTTAGAGAGGGAAGAGAGGGGGGGAGAGAGAGAGAGAGAGAGAGAGAGAGAGAGAGGGAGAGAAACATCAATGTGCGGTTGCTGGGGGTCATGGCCTGCAACCCAGGCATGTACCCTGACTGGGAATCAAACCTGCGACACTTTGGTTCATAGCCCGCGCTCAATCCATTGAGCTATGCCAGCCAGGGGTTAACTATATTTTTGAAATAAACATATATTGGATATATTTAGTTAAATAAAATTTATTAAAATTCATTTCATCTGTATCTTTTTATTTGTTTAATGTGGCCACTAGGAAACATAAAATGACAACTGTGGCTCGCATTCTGGCTCATGTTTCATTTCTTTGGATATCATTTTCCTGCAGGATTGTTGTCAAGTCACAGATTTGGCTCTTCTGAGGGTCCAAGGTGAAAACATATTCTGGTCTGGTTAGGTTTTTGTTATTAATTTCTTTGTATTTTTATAATTAATAAAAATGGAAATGTACATTTTTCTTTCCTAGAAAAAAATCAAGCTTTTTCCCATTTCTTGGTAAAAAAAAATCTGTATGGGGGTAGGCGGGCTGGGAAGTACTTTATGCTCAGGATTGGGCACATGCTCTTAACCCTATTTTACAGATGCAGAAACTGAGGCTCAGGAAGGTGAAGTGACTTGCACGTGGGTGCAAGGATGCAGAACTAAATGTCAGGCCCTCTTCTCTGTGGGTCCAGGCAATGTATAGAAGACAGGTCTCCAGCAGGTGACTTGACAACCTATCTTGAAATGTCTTCTCATTTGCAGGTGAACGCTACGGCTCCAAGAAGAGAGTGGTCATTCTGACCAGCAGTGTAACGGCTGGCGCGGCGGAGGAATTTACCTATATCATGAAGAGGCTGGGCCGCGCTTTGGTCATTGGGGAGGTCACCAATGGGGGCTGCCAGCCTCCACAGACCTACCATGTGGATGACACACACCTCTATATCACCATCCCCACAGCCCGTTCAGTGGGGGCTATGGATGGCAGCTCCTGGGAAGGGGTGGGCGTGGTGCCTCATGTGGCTGTTCCTGCGGAGGCAGCCCTCACCAGAGCCAAAGAGATGCTCCAGCACACTCTGGTGAGAGCGAGTTGGGGACGCGGCCAGCAGGGCCCCCTGGAGGACTTCCATGGGCAGAGCCCTGTGGTAGGTGGGGCCTCTGGGCCACACACCAAGGGAGCTCAGGTAGCTGGTTTTGCCTAAGGTGCAGGAAAGGGGCCTGCTGAGCTCTGGTTAGGCTTAGAATTGCAAGTACCCTTGGAGCTCATCCACCCGGTCTTATCACCACTGTCATCATCCTCTCTGTTTGGACACCTGGGGAGCTGACATTCTCAGTAATACTTGTTTTGCAGCAGTGCAGTCCAGATCTACCCCCAGCCATGCTTCTTAATCGCCAGTTCCTGGTCATGCTGTCAGCTAGATAGCACAGTTCTGTCCAACTGAGTTATATGGTGAGTCACAGATGCCAGAAACATGTGTCAATTTACATTTTTCGTAGCCACATTTAGAAAAGTAAAAAGATGCAAGTGAATTAATTTCAACAATATATCTTATTTAACCCATTATATTCACAGCAGTATTGTTTCAACACATACTCAATATAAAAAGTATTACAAATGAGATGTTTCTGCACAAAGTCTTTGAAATCTTACAGTACATTCCCATTCTTAAGTGCCACATGTCTAGTGCTCAATGGCCATGTATAGCTGGTGGCTACTGTGTGAGGCAGCACAGGTCCAGAGATAAGGGCTCCCCACTCCCTAGAACACTGTCCTCACTCTGCCCTCCCTGCACCTGTATCTCCCTTGTTAGAACAACTCTCCCATTCTGTCCCAGACCATCTCTGTCTCCACCATGCAGCATAACCCTTGGGGCAGGAGCTGTCCTACTCAGCTTCTTCTCCTCCTGCCTGTCACCTATTTCGATGCCTGGTGCCAGTGGTGGATGCCTGTGAACAGAAGTGGATTTTGGGCTGTAAGTTTTCATTTTCCTCAGGTGGCAGCCCTCAAACACTTGAAGAAAAGCCCAGGTTCACTTAAAATTCTCTCCTCCCTGTCCCAGCCACTTCCAATTCAATTCTACACAGCAAATATACCTTTCCTTCACATGTACCTCCCATGCCCTTATTCTCCAGCTCTGCCAAGGTCCCAAAAGCTCAGGTGCCATGCAGCATCCTGACATGCTAGGTTGCTGCTGAGGGGAAAGCAGCCCTAGGCAATGGTCTGAGTACCTGCCCTTCTCATCCAAGGGCAGCCTGTTACTGCCATTTCTGGTGACCAGGCCCACTCTTAGCAGGGTGAGAAGCTTATAGCATGTAGACCCCAATACATCCTCCAAAGGGAAAACCTGGGAAAATGAGGTCCCTGGGTGGTGTCCTGGGAGCCATGTAACCCTGCTCCACTGGAGTCACTGAAGACCCAAAAGTGAGAGACCTTTAGGACCCTTCCAAAAGTCACAGTGGTAGTGAGGCCAGAAGAGCAGGGTGGACCCCAGCTCCAAGATGTCTGAATGAGGATGAGTACTGGTGCCTTCAGGCCTTGCTGCCTTTTGAATCCAGGCAACATCTGCCACAGACCACTTCCCCCAGAGCAATAGGCTGACTTTACTAGACAATCTTGACTTCCCTGGACCCAAGAGGGCTGTGGAATCTGGGCACACTGCTGGGCCACCACCAATACCAAGGACTTTTGCTACTGGGAAACTTTGAAACATCTCTGTCCAAACAGGACAGTCCAAATGAAAGGCAAGATTTTACCCCTTTTCCTTCTGCTAAATTGAAATAAGATTAAGTGCATGATTGAATTTTAGTAGTATTGTATACTGTGATCTCACCTTTTTCTTCATTAGCCCTATTAATGTTCAGGCAAATATGTGGCTCCTGATATGCTTACATTCTTGGGTTCTACCTTTTCCCGCCTCTCTTCCTTCTCTCTCTCTCTCTCTCTCTCTCTCTCTCTCTCTCTCTCACACACACACACACACACACACACACACACACAATACAGACACACAAGATAGAGATCTGGGAGCCACTTCTGACTTTATCCTCTCAGCCCCCTGTCTATCTACCCTGTGCCCACACAGTAATCAGGACCAAGAAGAGTTATCTGAATTAATAGCACTCTGTTCTAGGCCCACCTGCGATCTGTCTCCTTTGTCTTCGGGTCCTGGATCTATGTGTAAATCCCCACCACAGCCTCTTGTCTCATCTCTGTGCTTCAGCCTCCAGCCAGGGCTTCCGCCCTACCATGCAACCTTCTCATGTCTCCCACTGCTTGAGGACTCCTCAAGGGTCCCACTACCCAGCAGTGAGAGGGGCTGGGCCAGGCTGTTGTCTGCCTCCTGTACCCCCAACCTGTTTTCTTTGGTCTGTGGACATCTGGACCCCAACCTAGCAAAGGGCTTGTGGTGTGTCAGGTTTTCCATGCTGTCTAGCAACCCCTTTCTCCCCAGAACCTGCTCTGATGTCACCTGATCAAATGAAGTCCTTGATTTCTCTGTGCACTTCCACAGTCCCCTGAACACCTCTGCCACAGTGCTCATCTCTCTTGTATCATTAGTCACCCCAACTGTTCTGTGGGGCATTCAGGGATAGAAACTTAGCTTGCTTGTATCTGCACCCCCAAGCCCAAACAAGCTTGGTACCTGGGAGGAAAGCTTGGCACACCATGAATGAATGAATGAATGAATGAATGAATGAATGAATGAATTAGTTAATGAACAAATGAGGCCCCTGTTTACTGAAAAGGCATTATTATGTGATACAGGTATTCAAGGGGTCTTATTTCTCTGGCCCTCCTGGAAACATGGTAAGGAGGGAAGTCAACCTAGGAAAGCAATGAGGGATGAGGGTGGCCATCTGTCCCTCCATCCATTGGTGCTGGAGTGGCTGTAGGACTCCGGATGGTCTGTGTTGCATAGCAACTCAGACCACATTCTGGGTAGCCAAACCATGGGGTCATTATATGGATAAAGAAACACATGGCATGCTAAGTCCATCTCTCCCTCCTGTACCATCCCAGTTATGTCCCGAGTGGGCCAGACTAGCCATGGCAAGCTGTGGAGGCACAGAAGACATGGGACCAGATGTGAGCAGCAGCAGAGGATGGGGATGAGACACAGGGCTAGGGTGAGTGTAAGTGGGATGAAGGGAAGTAGCTCAGAGGTCCAGGGGCCCACATCCAAATGTTGACCAACAGGAACAAGCCATGCCTGTGCCAGGATCTGTGTAATTAGAAGAGGAAAGGAATGGTGGCTTTCACCATCAGGATCCTTGCTAGATACCTGACTCACCCTCACCCTAGGAAGCAGGGGCCAGGGACATACCCAGGTAGGAGTTTAAAGGGGTCACCTGCCAGATCCCATAGGTCCTTTCTTTTCAGGGAGGGCTGGAGCACCAGAGGAGAGGACTGGCTCTTCTCCCATCTCATTCTCCTGCTTCCCATGTCCCTGTATCTGCCCACATGTTTGTGGGCCTTGGTTATCTACACAGCTTTAATGCAAGGAGAGGACACAGCTCAAAAAGAAAAAAATGATGCAGTCCAAATTACACAGGTGGACAAGGAAACCTTCCTCTGAAGTCCCCACTCTATGGTGCCCATCTTGCATTTCCTGGCCCCTGAGGATTATGCCACTTGGCCCAAGGACCTATTTATTGCCTTACTGACCAGGACAGCTGGTACTAAAAATAGCCTCCTAATCCAAGCAGCTTAGAATAGCAAGGGTATCAGAGGCCACTGGCTTCCTGTCTCCTGCCCCAGGAAAACACAGTATGGCCAGGGAAGAAAAAATTGAATTTAGTGAATACCAACCCTCCTCCCAGCATGCACTATCTCTTCATTCCACATTCAATATTGGTTTCAAAAAATTATTTTCTCCTAAGAAGTGGCACAAATCAAATCACATAGGAAAAGTGGGTTTATTTTCTATAGGGTTTATATCTTGCTATGTGATCTTAGACTTCCTACATGATTTTGACTACAAAAAATCAAAAACATCATGCAAATAGCCAGGATTTGTTAACCATTTTTCTGAAAAGAAGTGGCTTGCAGGGCAAGCCTGCTACCTCTAAGGGATGCAAGCACCTTCCAAAATAAGAAAGGATGCATGGTTAACCTTGAGACAATTGTTGTCTTTCACCTGAAGGAGAATTCTCTTCCTGTGCCCAGAGGAATAGGGCTGTATGGATGAGGTCAGTAGTGCCAGGCCCAGCACCTGGCCTGTTTGAAGACTGGGACCACAACAGAGTTAAGTATGTCCAGCTGGTGATTCCTGCCTCTCCTCATCACCACCATCACTAATATGCTTCCTTAAGTCTATGCATTTCATTTTGGCCACCAGTCCCTAGGTGGCCAAAGACTCAAGACCATGGGAGAGGTAGATGAGAGGACAGTGCCTGTAGGAAAATAGTGGTAAAGACAGCAAGGAAGCATAAGGAGGTGGTATGATGTTAAGAGGCTACTTTCTTAGGTGCAGAGTGCTGGGCAACTTTCACTGAACTTGGGAAGCAGGAGGGAAATTTCTGAAAGACAAGTTGCATATCAAAGCCAAAGAACTGGACTGCAGAGAAAATTAAATACGATGTAGAGAATTTAAGGAATGTGACCATTTTTAGCCAAGAATTGTAGGGGAAAATTCATACCTGCTCATGTGATGTTTTGTGGCAACAGCACCAGCCAACCCTTAAATGGAATAGAACGTGACAGAGAGAGGGCAAAGTCACCATTAAAAGTGACTGCTCTCCAGTAGAGAAAGGAGGGCAGGAGAAAAGAGTGAATTAAGACAGGATTCAACTGCCAAGTAGACTTTGGGAACCCAGCCTGGTGACAAATAGCAACTGTTACATTAATAAGCTGCAAACCATCACCTCTATAAGTCATCTTTCAGTTTGTCAATTTAAATGTCTGCAAAGCAACTTGCATTTATCTCAGTTTTTACCAAAATAAACTCCATTGTCAAAGTCAATTTTTATCTAACTAAATTCCTCTTAAAAATCTAGATGTTTTGTTATGCTTCTTCATAACTTGAATTAATTTAATTAGATTAAATTTATTTATTTTTCATAACATCTCCCTTGCTTTTGAATGCTGTGGTTCCTTGAGGAGTGCAGCAGACCAGGAAGACTCACAGACTGAGCTCTCATAGGTATTTCAGGAATCCTGGCCTTAACCTCACCACCACCTGCCCTGCAACACCCTGTAGGTCAGCTTATCAGTGGACATAAATGCTTACTGCTATAAAATGAGGGAATGGATTAGAATTCCACAGTCTCAATTCTAAATTTCTATTCTGTCTTAGCATAATGAATTTATGCCTCTCAAAGTGATTTCAAATAAATTATGAACCAATCCAATAAACCAGAGGAGGATGGCTATGCACACAGTTTGACAGATGTCAAAACTCCTGTGAGAAGTTGATTCAAAGTTTGTCAGCAGTGAGGTTGGAACCAGGCATTTCATTCATTCCTTTAACAAATGAGAAAAAGAAGATCAAAACTATGACCAGTAAAATGACTACACACTCACAACTATCAACAACTGAACCTAAAAACAAAAACAAAACAAACTAAGCAAACAACTAGAAGAGGAACAGAATCACAGAAATGGGGACCACATGGAGGGTTTTCAGTGGGGAGAAGGAGGGAGGAGGAGGGAGGAAAGGTACAGGAAATAAGAAGCTTAATTGGTAGGTACAAAATAGACAGGAGGAGATTAAGAATAGTATAGGAAATGGAGAAGCCAAAGAACTTATATGTATGACCCATGGACATGAACTAAGTGGGGGGTGTGAATGCTGGAGGAGGGGTATAGAGCAGAAGGGTGTAAAGAGGGAAAAAAGGGACAAATGTAATAGCATAATCAATAAAATATACTAAAACAAACAAACAAAAAATGCCTGTTGAACAACTGCTATGTACCTATGTTGTTCTGTCTGCTGGGGATACAGCAGTGTGCAAAGCAGCAAAAATCCCTCATGAAACTTACATTCCATTGATGGAAGACACAGTAAACAAGACAAATCAGTTAAACAACATAGTACTCAAGATAATGAAAAATGCTAAAAAGAAAGGCAAAAGAAATGTGTATGTGTGGTGGGGGGTCAGGGTGCAAGTTGAAATCAATGCCCAATCCTAGTTTTCAAACCATTCATGATGACACATGAACACACTGAGGAGATGTGTAGTAGGCTAGGAAGGATATGAACTCAAAATGAAAAAGGAGATCCTGGGGTCTTGTTCTTAAACCCATGGTCTTAGGAAAGTCAGTTAACCTCTTGGAGTTTAGTTTCTTTTGCAATAAAATGGGAATTAAATGTCTACCTCCTGAGTGTGACATGCAGGTTAAATGGTATAAGTCAATGCATACTGTGGAGCCTCAAGTTCAAACCTTTTCTGCCCCACATAGGACAGCAGAGGAGGGAGGCCCCTTGCAGCTTCAAACTGATTTGGGAACAGCATCTTTGTGGGCAAATTCTGCCCCCACATAGCTTCCTAAGGGGCTGGCCTGCAGATCATTCCTAGTCTCTCTCAGGGAGAGTGGATCCTCCAAGCTTCCCTGTGAGAATGGAGGTGCTCTGTTGGTGCCCACAGGGAAACACTTCTGGCTCCTTCAAAATGCAAAAGAAAATGCTTCAGGGGGTCATCTCCTCTCTCTAGCACATCCTTCCCTTCCGAATGAAACCAGAGTTTCCCTCCAAGTACTTCTAGGAGCGAGCCCTCCCAAACCCTGATCCAAATTCTTCTCTTTGGTGGCCTTTGTGTTTCTCCATCTCCTCTTGAGGGCTGCCTCCCCACCTTGTCCTCTTTGTGCTGGCCCTGCAGCACCCTAGAACTTCTGCAGCTCTAGACTACTCTTCTCCTCAGCCACTGCCTTCCCTGTCTGAATCAGCAAAGCCTGCTGGACCTTGAAGCTCAGCTCATGTCCCCAGTCCTCAAGAGGCCTCCCTCCCCACAGGTCTGACTTAGGCATGTCTCCCATGTTACCAACCACAAGCCTGAGCTCTGCAATGGAGGCCCCACCAGAGGGCTACAAACTTCAGGTCAGACGAACAAATCCTGAAAGTGAAGTAGAAATCCATCAAAAAAAAATTGCATTGACTCAAAAGAACTACCAAGAAATGGCCTTCATAAAACTAGCCCACATGATGTCAGAGTTTATGACCTGAAGTTAGCAAGGGCAAACATGGAAAAGCAGAGGAGAAAATAATAGAAACCAGAACTCTTCCAATCATCAGTGTTTTCAGCTTTAAACTTTTGCTCATATTCCCTTCCTTAGAGCTAAGGGTTGTGTGATAGATGGAGAGGTGTGTTGTTCCATTTTTCCCTTTTTACATATTCAGAATGTGAAAAATCATGGCTGAATTGTTGATCTTGATTCTTCATGTTCCTATATTAGGATTATACACTCACTTGCTCATCATGGCTTCACCATGGGCAGCATGCACATTTTACTCCTTAACATTGGGCTTGGCCATTGACTTGCTTTAGCCAAAAAACATTACCAGAAGTGACCCAGAGGACTGTTAGGAACTTCCCTGCCTGTTTTCAGAAGCTGTAAATCCCCATGGCTAAGGCTGAGTAAAAAACTTTGGGACCATAAACCACTTAGGAAACAAAGCTTATCTTCCTTGTAGGGGCACCACCTCTGCCCTCTTTCTCTTCACCCTGCTTGGCCCCTAGTGGCTGACTGGATGAGTAAGACTCCTTAAAAGAGGGACAACCTAAGACAGGCACGGTCATGAAGGGGCCCTCAGGGAAGTACTTGGGGGGCAACAGAAAAAGGGGGTGATGGACCCTCACCCCTCGGCCTTGACACAGCCTGAGTCCTCATTCTGTCTTCAAGAAGTCTCCTAATCTCTTAGCTGCCTTACTTCCCCTGTCTAACTTAAGCCTGAAACAATGCTGGAAGTGCTTGTGGCCCTGTGCCAGAAAGGGTGGGTTCCCTAGGGTGATCAGGCTTAAGAAAGAATGCATAAAATCCTATGAAACCTACTTTGCTAATAACCTCAATTTAAATGATAAGTGTCCAAGCAGGAAGCGAGTTTGTTCCCCAAAGTTCTATGGACCTTTAACTATCTGACCCTGACTGAGAATAAGCTCTCAGAGTTCTTTGACTGTTATCTACTGTTTAATCATTTCTGCCTGAGACAATGATTGATGAACTTTACGTATACACCCTGTATTCCTGTGCAAATTGAACCTAATAAAAGCCTGTTAAGGCAAGGGTCAAAGCACTCTCCTCTTGAGAGAATAGCCAAGGCTCTCTGAGGCTTTTCTCCTCTTGAGAGAGAAGCTGCACCATCCCTTTTTCTCCACAGGACTTGGTTGTCAGTGTGAATTTGTTTCGTCTCATCCATAACGCCGCAGACCCCAGGAGCCAGGGTCTGCATCAGGACTGAGATGTGTTTGTGTATTAGGACTTGCCCTCTAGTGCTTTAGCATAACCATGAGAGAAGAATGAACTTGGTAGCCCATCAGTTCCAGAGAAAAAGAGCATGGACCTAAATATGTGACCTGGAGCCAAGCCAGCAAAAACCTCGTCAACCACAACTGACCCACAGATCCCCTAGTGAGAAGTAGGTACTCTGGGTTTGCCACCTAGATTTTGTTTTGTAACAAATCTGGATCATGATAATACATGTTATTTACACAGTGATCACACTGCTCTAGGCACTGTGGTGGCCATTTCCCTTACATCTTTCCATGTAACCCTCTAAAACATCTCCCAAAACATGGGTGTATAAACTACATTTTACAGATGAGAAAACTGGGGTTCAGACAATTAAAGCAATTTGTTCAAGGTCAGGTCTAATATTTAAAAGGGCTAAGACTCAGATCCAAGTTTGTCTGCATCTAAAGCCCATTCTGTGTGCCACACTTGGCTCTATAAGGGGGAAAAGGAATGGGGAGAGGAGCAGGGCCCCCAATTCTTGAAGCTACTAGAGACACTTTGTGCCTAGTAGCCCCAATACCCTGGGTTAGCAAAACACATCATTTTATTTCATTACTTTATTTCAAAGCATATCACAACCAAGCAATTTTGCTAATTATGACCAAGCTGTTCATTGCAGACAGCCTCACAGACAACTGCAAATTGTCTTTTCAAAGGAAGCCCTGGCAAACCATTTTTTGTCCTTGCCAAATGGTGGTCACTGCACTTAGAGGTTTGTTCCACAGCCACCTGTTAACTGTGAGTAGTAATGTGCTGGGAGAGATGGTGGTGCTCCCAGAAGTACTCATGACAAATGGGGCATGTGAGTGCCTCTTCTGTCAGCTTCTTAGAATGTAGGTCAGGCCCTGCATGTTCCTTTTTGTGGTGGGTCCACATATGAAAAAACAAGTCCAAGGTCATGTGAAAGGAGAGGTTGCACTTTGCACACCAGTTCTGGGTGGACAAGCCTTGGGAAGGGAACATTGGTGGTAGGAGGCAGGGGAAGATGATGACAAGGGTGTAGGTATCTGGGCCATGGCATGCTTAAGCCACAGTGTACCCAGAAAAGCACTGCAGAGATGAGTGTTCTGTGGCAGCATTTGCAGGTTCCAAAAATCACCCACCAAAAGCTTAGAATTGGAAAGTTGACCCCAACAAGGGAAATCTACCATCTTGATGAGTCCCAACAGCTCCCTCATGGCATCTGCAGGTCTGCTTGCCTGGAAAAGAGAGGCTGACCCAGGTTTTGCTGAAGGCACTTTTCTGCTCCTGTTGGGCTCTGCTAGTTTGCTGAAGGCACTTTTCTGCTCCTGTTGGGCTCTGCTGGGCCACTCAGAGAAGACTGTGCTGCCAGCTGGTTTCCTGGGGATGTCCTGGGTCTGCTGCTGAGGGCCAGGCTGGCCTGTGAGGGCACCATGCTCCCTATCTTTGGCTTGTCTGTCCTGTAGCCTTTTCTTGAGCTGTGGCACCTCCATCAAGGCACTCTGCTCCTGTTTCCAGCACACTTTCTGGGCCAATGGCTTTCCCAGTCAAACCTTCCCTGGGGGTGTTACCAGTGCCAGCTCCACACTGGTCTTATCCTGGCCACCCCCACCGATAGTACCCTTGGAGCCTGGGAAGTTTGCTTTCTCCAGCTGCATTGGCTTGCAGCCCTCACTTTGCTTGGGTTTACTAAGCCACTGGCTATTTTCAGATGAAGGGCTATGCAGAATCCTCTTCTGAGCAGCCATGCTGATTTGCAGGGCCTGGGGTAGCTGAGCAAGGTGGACACTCCAACAGTTATCATCTTCGGTATTCTAGAAGGGTTGGCCCAGGTAAGAGCTGTGAAATTGGAGAGCTCCCTTACTGGTTGAGCCAGCAACACTTGGACCACAGGACTCTGTAGAGAGAGGAAGCAGCAGGCAGTGAGAGAGGTACTCTTCACTTGTTTGCATTCAAAGGGTCCTGACTACTACAGATGCCACAACTCACCCTGTCTTAGAGCTCTATGCCACATGCTTTCACCTCCAGGACTCCATCAGGGAGGAACGACTACACTGTACAATGCTACCACCCAGAGATGTGGCTCACTACTCTCTCCACACCTGTTAGCATCCAGACAGCAGCTAGTGTATTAATGGAGCACACATCAACCAGCCAGTTATGATTCTGTTGACAGCTCTTACATGTTTGGACACTGATTTAGGGATGTTTGCATTCCTTGCTACACAGCATGCTAATTTCCACCTTGAATCTTCAGAAGTGCCAAGAACTTTAGGCACTTGGGGACAGGAGTCCCTGCAGGTACACATGTGTGGAGAGATAGAAGCTGAAGCAATAAATATCCAGGTATGACAGGGTGGGTCTGGGGGTGTGCCTGGCTTCCCCTTGTACCCCATACACAGGGCGTGGGGTACAGGGGGCAGCCACCTCTCTACTTGGCCCTACCCCAGGAACAAGTGAGGGTCTCTCCTGTCTCTGCTTGCTGGAACTGAAAACACTTGGTTCTCCTCACACATGAATCCACTTTCTTTCTTTGTGTTCACCTGGCAACTGTCAACTATCCTCTGCGCCTACCTGCTGGACATACTAAGGTAACCCAGCTTCTATTTTGCTCTTGAGGCTTCAAGGAGAGATATATAGTGGCCGTATATGAGGGTAGCACCAAGGAGGAGAGGGTGCCATCAGCCCTGCTGGGGAGGCATTCATTCCTGCCTTTCCCTAATCAGCTCCATCACAAGTTCTAGAAATTGGGAAACCCATCTTCAAGCATCCCACCTCAGCTGGTGAATAGTACTGCTAGGCCATAGTTGACTGACTGCTGCAAATTTTCATCATCAGAAAATATTTATTCCCAGGCCCATAAAGACCCTAAGGAGTAGGTGGCTGAGCTTCTTCACAGGTACCTCCATGGGCTTGTTAAGTACAAATACCATGTGGGCTCATGTCAGCTCTTTCTTCTTGCCCTGCCTCCAGCCCCACATAGAGAAGGAAGCCCAGACACCCTGCCCTCCCTCTATCTCAGTGGCAGGAGTCTATGATGGGTGTTTTGCATATGTCATTTCCTTCCATCTTTGCCCTGTTTCACAGATGGAAGGACACAAGTTTTGGAAAGCTACACATCCTGCCCAATATCCCCTGCAAGCAGGAGGTGCAGCTGGGATTGAAACCTATAGGGAACTGATCTTCCTGGCAATGGCAAATGTAGCCCAGCCCTATTGGAAAGCCCATAGGTGTGTGGTGGCACACAGGACACCAAACCCACGGATCAGCTTTCCCATGGGAAATCAGGCCTGCAATGTACCTATGCTGCTTTGAAACTTGCTCTTGCTAAAACTCCCTAACCCTGAGTTGAAGCAGCAAATGCTTACTGCATATCTTTAAAGTAACTTCCTGAAGTCTGTGCTAATTCTCCCAAGGACTGAAGTATAACCAGATCAATTACTCTTATTGTTCCCTTGCATTTGCAACAGTTTTCCTTGTAAATATGTAGGAAGTAATCAATAACATCCTTTCTTTTGTTATCTGAAAAAATTAATTACCTAAAGCAAACCTAAGCATAATGAATGAAAACCTTCTTTCATGTATGCTATCAGAAAGCCAGTAAAAGCTTGTCAAGGCAAGGGTCGAGGCACTCTCTCCTTGAGAGAGTGGCCAAGCTGTCCCTTTTCCTCCACAGGACTTTGGTAGTCTGTGTGAATTTGTTTCATCTCATCCACAACACCATGGACACTGCTGGCCAAAGTCCACATCAGAAACCCAAATGTGTGTCCCTAAAGCCTGCTTTAATTGAACTACCCATGTCACCCTCACAGTGCCCTGGTGGTAAGCACCAAGTCCAAACAGTACTTCCAGGGGGATCTGAGACTTTCTTAATATACCTTCCAAACTAATTCTTCAAAAAGGATGCCATTGACATCAGAGATTAGTGCTGGCCAATGTTTCTTGAAGAGGCAGAGGCAGCCATATCAGTCCACTGGGTTCCCCTGAACTGACTACCCACCTCTCTCAGCCTCAATTTCTCATCTAAAAACTAGGGTTGAGCTAAATTATCTCCACAATACTTTCCAAATCTATCAAGCCAATTCTCTCCATTTCTCAAAAAGTAACTGATTGGCTTGAAGCCCTGTTGCTGTGCTTCCATGAACTCTACAAAGAAACACACACCCAGGCCCTGACAGAATGGCTCATTTTAGTTGGAGCATCATTCCAAGCACCAAAATGGTTGCAGATTCAATTGCTGGTCAGGGCACATACCTAGGTTGTGGGTTCAGTCCCCCATTGGGGTGCATATGGAAGGCAACTAATCCATGTTTCTCTCTCACCTCTATGTTTCCCTCTCTCTCTCTCTCTCTCTCTCCCCCGCCTCCAGCCTTCTCTCTCTAAAATCAATAAAAAATATCATTGGGTGAGAATTAAACAAAACAAAAAAATGCATACCCATGTATACTTATACTCTCACACATAAACACCCACACTTACATACACTCATACTTATACATTCACACATACACATACACTCATACTCAAATACACATATAGTACATACACACATCTCTGCATCCCCTTCTCTCTCGTTCTCTCAGGCAGTTCTCTAGATGATATTTTAAAACTATCATCTAGATATATTTCCCCAAGCCTGGGCAGGAGCCTCCCTGCTGTCCTCCTGATCTTGCTGCACCCCAACATCCCTCTGTAGACAGCACCAATGGGCTGCCTTCACAACTCAGACAATCTTTGCCAACCACAGCTGTGTGGGCACTGTTGCCAGGACTGTACAGAGTGCCCTGAGCCACAGATGAGACCCTCTTTTCAGCACTGAACTTTTGGATATGTAGTCTTACTACAGGATGGAATATTTGTTACCAGTCTCCTTTATGATCTAAGAATAGAAATCATTGTTTATTGACTACTTAAGTATCTACATGCCTTAGGCTTAATCACCTTACTTCATGGCATTTTCACAAGACCCATATGAGGAAAGTTGCATGTCTCAGCCCAAGTGCTTTCACCCTCAATTTTCCAAATACCATGTTGCTAAACTGAGCGCTGCATTTTAGCTTTTTGAGACATGGTGGATCTGGATTCTGCTAACTGCTGTGTTAGATATCCATCCAACTTCACCCTCCATCAAAGCTGCAAGACAAATCTCAATAATGATCAGGAGAAGAAAGAAGACAAGGAAATGATATAATATAAAATAATAATAATGAGGGGGAGGAGGAAGAGCAGGAAAAAGGGAAAAGAAAAGGAGCAAATAAAGATACTGACTTTTGGCATGACTCCCAATATCCCTGAGGGTCACTAACTCTCACATGAATCAGTACTACTGGGGTAAAGTTACTTGGGCAAGTGCAAAGAACATCCTACAAAACACTGCCTGCAGTCCCATCTAATCTCAGTCCACTCTGTCTGCAACAATCACCAGATCCAAGCTTCTCAAAATGGAAAATGATGTGAGTCTGACATGCCTTCCCCTCAGTGAGCCCCTGACAACTTCGGATGTTCAACTCTTCTTGCTGATAGACTCTGAGGCTCTTTTCTAAGGTCAGCATCAGACTTGGAGTCTCATCCAGCTCCAGGCTACCTGCACCTCTATCATGTACCCAGAGGACCTTTACAGATATGTGATGTCATCTCTGGGGTCACTCCATGCCCTGGCCAGTTAGTTCAGGGACAGAAGACCAAATGCCCAGGCCACATGCACTGTCTCACTTCTCCTTTCCTACCTATACCTACTAGTGTCCTTTGAAACTGGGGGATGGTTCTCTGCCCCCAGGCAAAGAGAAGCTGCTCCTTCTTCTTTCTCCTGCCACAGACACCAGCTGCCCTGGCAGCCAGTGGGTCTATGCAGCCCTTGTTTTCCTTGCCCTCTACAAATATTAATGAACACTTTGTTGTCCTCTGCTCTCTTCAATAAATTCAATTTATTCTAGGATCTCACCCTGTGATACTATTTACTGGTCCTCATCACTCTCTATCATATGTGTCCTGAGAAGGGGTTTTTCTTGTTCTTCTCAGTTCTTTCAGTCTGAACTCAGTAACACATTCTCTGAGCCACACAGACATCTTTGAGTACCACCTATGTTGTTCCAATGAAAAGAAAGTGATTTTAATCTCAAACTATTCAACAATTTCTAAGCCTTTAGATCATGGGATTACTAAGTGATGATCTCTGAAACAGCTCCCAAGTCCACAAGGTGTCTGACTATATCCAGCCTTCCCTACCATGGGAATGCTTCTCCCCCAGGCTCCCAAAGTTACTGGGCTACCAACCAGGATTCTACTGACCAACAGGGGAAGTGCTACATTATATGAAATGAAGCCTCACCCACCCATGGTGTTAAAAGCATATGCTTCTTTGTTTGTTACCCATTCTCAAGGTACTGACTAAAGATTCGGATCATTCCTTCATCTGGGAAGTACTTGCCACATTCTCCCATATTACTTTCCTTTTCATACCATACCCAGGTTGTCCCATGTAATCATCAAGCCTTATATCACATAGAAGTGCACAGGCTCTTGGGTCAAATGCTTGTTCTGCTCTTACCAAACTGATCAGCCTAGGCAAGGTGCTGATCTTCCCTCTGCCTCTGTTTCCCATTTTCAAAAAAAGGATCACCTTGGTGCCCGCTTTATTAGATGGTTATAAAAATTAGATGGATTAATATAACCAAGTGCTAAAGAGCCTACTTCAATCAATAAATGTTAGGTAGTATCAATTAATCAATTATCATGCTAGTGCAAAGGGTCAGAGTCAAAGTCATGACCACCTTCCCTCTATTCCTGTGCACCCAAGGACTAGTGCACAGTGGCGTTTAATGAGTGACCAAATGGCTGGCACTTTCCTCGTCCTATGCTCCATTTACAGAAGACAGATCCAGTAGCAAATAACTGGATGACCTCAATTTTCCTGAGATACGTAAAGATACTCTGTATCATGAGTCAGCTAATTAGCCTCCAGTAGTTCCAAGCTGTAGTTCAGAAGCTAGATTTTACTCAGTGACACTATCTACATGGCCCTGCAGTGCCTTCCTGTGTTTGCCTTTCTTTTCAGCTAAAACAAATGAGCACAGTAAATATCTGCTGTGCTACTTTGGTTCCCTAAACTCTGGAGATGCTTCTCAAATCTTTTAGGAAAATTCCAAAGGATAATCATGTATCAGCCTCTTCTAACTATGGATTGTGAGATCCTGGATTTTCCTGAGAAGAGAAACACACATGTTTTCTAGGCATCTTCTTCATGCTGGAACCCTGAGAAAATTAAAAACCAAAGAGTTATCCAGGCTCCCTGGAGGCTGGCTGGTGATGCCATGGAGCTGGGGGAGAGGAAGGCTTCCAGGGCAGCTCCCATAGGTTCCATGTCCAGCTATGCCTATATGCCAGCATCAATGTCTGCTGTGTTCAAGTAAAACTAAATGCAGGATTCCCGGGATGCAGCCAGCCATAAGACCCATATAAGGTGAGTCAGAGACCTAACTTGGCCATGTGGGCCAATTCCAGTGGCTGCCTTCAGGGGAAAAATCCATGGTTGTAAATCAGATTTCCCAGCCAGACTCTACCTGATGCCAACAATAGTGTCATCTACTAAAAAGTATAATTACAGCCTACTTAAAGAAAAAAAAATTAAAGCATTTCAGTTTAAGACTTAACCTTGAATTTTTTTTAAATGGTGTAGTTATCTGTTTTAAAGAAAAGTTGTCACCTCATGGGTTTCTGAAAGAGAAATCTAAGCAAAGCACACATGATAATCTAATCATTTGAAAAGCATCCATTTCACCCACACCACACCACCCCAGAATTCTAACACATTGGAAGTCAGTGGTTAAAACAACTTAGAAGACAAATTGACTGTCCAATCAATAAAATAGTCTTCCAAATCAAAGTTCCGTACATATACCTATGAAGTTGTTCAACATTCTTTGATCTAAAATGAAAGATTCTTTCAATAGACATACTTCAATCCTCTTTCATTATATTTAATTTCTGCTCACTTCCATGTGATTTATCTACTAATAAATTCCCTTACCTATATCAACTGAACAGTGAAGTAGCTGAATTATTATTAAAAATAACAGTAAACTTTTTATTTATAAAACTCAAAGCTTCAAATGTTACATAGTAATTAACAGCTTTAAAACAAACAACTTTTCTCCTTACAGTTTAGTGTGTATACACACATATGTAGTTTAAGTATACATGTGTTTGAATGTATGTTATAAAAATATCATTAAATAATTGAATCATGTCTCTGATAAAATTAAATTTTTAACAAAAAGCAAAAAATGTTTTGATATTCAATACTTCTACTTTATTCCTTAAAATGACTAATGTTTATTCATCTAGATTTCTTCACTTAGAAAGTGTCTAGGACAATATATGATGTTAAGAAATATTTTCGGGACTTCCGGCAAGATGGAATAGGTGGATGCACCGTACCTCCTCGCACAACCAAGATTATAACAACAATAAATTACGGTCAGCATAACACACAGAACTGATAGAGGATTTATCTGAATGGAAGTCAGACAGCCAAGAAGTTGAAGTAGACCCATTCATCCAGACTGGTAGGAGACGACGAGCCGAGCGGGCGCGGGGCTGGCGCGGGTCGGAGGCGCGCGGAGGTTGGAGAAAGTTTGGCGCGGAATCAGCGCGACAGCCATCCGGGGCGCAAGAACGCAGCGGTGATCCCTGAGTATTCAAGCTGCAGCTGCCGGACCCAGTGGGGCAGCGATTGTGGACCAGGGCAGAGCTCGCAGCCCAGGAGCCCGGGGAAGGGTCTGGGCCCAGGAGAACTGAACTGCTGCCATTGATTCCCTCCCGTCCCCGCTCCCGCCCCCGCCCCCACATATAACGTCACAATCTAGCGACTGGGGCGCCCAGTGAACACCTAAGGCTCCACCCCCCACCGTAACATGAGCTACCAGACCGGGAAAAAAAGAAAAATAGGAGAGACGGGGAAAGACATAAGACATGTGTACAACAGAGCAGATCAGTCCCCCAGGACTCATCCTTTTGAGCGACCAAGAAATAGCCAATCTATCAGATGCACAGTTCAAAAGGCTGGTGATCAGAAAGCTCACAGAATTGGTTGATTTTGGGCGCAATTTAGATGAAAGGATGCAGGTTACCATAAAAGAGATGCAGGAAGATACACGGAGGAGAGCCAATAGAGAAAGGAAGGAATCTGAGTCTCAAAACAATACAGTGGACCAGAAGGAAGATAGAATCAACCAAGCAGGAAAGCATGATGAAATAAGAATTCAAAAAATCAAGGAGAGCCTTGGGAGCATCCAGGACACCTTTAAACATTCCAACATCCGAATTATAGGGGTACCAGAAGGGGAGGAGCAACAAGTGGAAAAGTTATTTGAACAAATAATAAAGGAGAACTTCCCCAATCTGGCAAAGGGAACAGTCTTCCAAGAAATCCAAGAAGCTCAGAGAGCCCCAGAGAAGTTGGACCCAAGAAGAAACACACCAAGGCACATCATAATTACATTAGCCAAGGTAAAAACGAAGGAGAGAATCCTAGAAGCAGCAAGAGATAAGGGGACAGTATCCTACAAAGGAGTTCCCATCAGACTGTCAGCTCATTTCTCCAAAGAGACCTTACAGGCAAGAAGGGGCTGGAAAGAAATATTTCAAGTCATGAAAGACAAGGACCTACGTCCCAGATTGCTCTATCCAGCAAAGCTCTCATTTAGAATGGAAGGGAAGATAAAGTGCTTTTCAGATAAGGTCAAATTAAAGGAGTTCATCATCACCAAGCCCTTATTTTATGAAATGCTAAAGGGACTTATCTAAGAAAAGAAGATAAAGAAAAGACATGTATATTGAAAGGACAGCAAACTCACAATTATTAACAACCACACCTAAAGCAAAACCAAAAGAAACTAAGTAAACAACTAGAACAGGAACAGAACCACAGAAATGGAGGGCACATAGAGGGTTAGCAGCAGAGGGGTGGGAGGAGGGGAGGGGGGAAAAAGGTATAGAGAATAAGTAGCATAGAATGTAGGTTGAAAATAGATAGGGGGAGGGCAAGAATAGTACAGGAAAGGTAGAAGCTAAAGAACTCATAAGAATGACACATGGACGTGAACTAAAGGGGGGGACGTGGGTGGGAGAGGGGGTACAGGGTGGAGGGGAGGGAAGGGGGGAAATGGGACAACTGTAATAGCATAATCAATAAAATATATTTAAAAAAAGGAAATATTTTCACCATGGTCCTACCTAATGTACACAAAAACAGTAGTTTCAAATGCCATAATAATTGCTATAAAATATCTGTCTCAGACATTAATTATGTAACTTAATTTCTGCACATCAGCAGCACTGACAAGTAAATATTTTGAAAATATACAGTGAATTCCTTATTTCAACTTTCACCCAGATATTTCACATGCAAAGCCCTGGCTTCACTATTGTCTCTCTACAACTGAGCTCTGAATCCAACTCCTCCCTCCTCACCTACCTGGCCTTGTACAGCCTCCGCACAAAGATGGTGTGAGTCTCAATGTCCCCTAAATTTCCGTGCAAGTTTTAGTTTAGTGAGGTGCTGTCTGTGCCTCAAGGAAATGGCAAGAAAAGTATTAAATCAATGCCTTGTCTTGAAAGCCAAGTATTTCTTTAAGTCAACCCTGAAAATTCAGAGATTTATAACTAGATAATTTGTGTATTTTCCCCACAACAGACACTGAACAAGCTACATGGCCAGACCTTTGGAGGCAATCTGCTGGAGAAAGGATGACAAGCCCTGGATGAGATAAGAGAGCAACACAGGATGAGTGAATGGATAGTTGGATGATTGAAAAAAACTGTGGCCCAAAACGTCAACCTAGGAGAAAAAAAACCCAAGGCGGACTTGTGGGAAAGGAGAAGGGTGGAGGAGAGAGGAAGAGAGAAAGAGGCAGGGAGAAAAAGGGGTAGGACACGGGAAATATGTAACAAAAGAGAGGTAGACCAGAAAAACAGAGATCGATGAGAGAGAAAAATAGGAAGAGACAAGGAAACAAAAGACAGAATATAGAGGCAAAGGGGCAGGATAGGTTGGCACTTAGAGAAGAAGGAGAGAAAGCCAGTGACAGAGGGAAGGGAAGAACCCGACAGTCAAAGGCAGAGCTAAATCTCCCTAGGGAAAGGCCAGAGGAAGTTGAGAAGAATTTCGACCCCCACTCTCACTCGCAGCTCGGTGATGGGGCTGGGGCTAGGGCGGGGGGGGGGGGGGGGGTTGTGCAGTGCACAGCATGTCTCACCTTGCTCTCCCCAGTTGCAGGCTCTTGGGGTTTGCCTTCCCCTTTGCTTCCGCTGCCACTAGGAGCCCCCTTCCGCCCCCCCCAGGCTTTCCCCAAGTGTTGTGGAAAATCCACCCACACACGCGGGGAGATAACAAAGCATAAACTTTATTACCTGGTGGGGCTTCAGGGGTTAATTCCAAATCCTGAGCTGAAAAAGGCTGGGTTAGGGGTCCTTTGTATATACCAGTTAACAGACAGAGTGGGAGGGGGAACCAGCTGCTGAAAGCAAGCATTCAGAAGCAGAGGCATAATGACCTTCAGATAATGTTACATAGCAACGTCTTGCTAGCCGCTCCTTACCCAAAAATAACTTTTACTCAGCTTTTGTCAGGACAAAACTTGCAAGTGTTACAGAGAGCAGTTTCTTTTCCTGCCACAGTAGGAACTCACATAGCCTCTGAACCCGCCAAGTGCCCCACCAAGAACACGGGCTTCCAGGAAACTGCTGACACTTGCTCTGCACTTCCAGCATAAGCCTGCACCCCTGCTACCAGCGGAGCCCCGTCCTTCCAGGGGTTCAGCTCCACAACCCTGCCCCAAAGTCCCAGCTGCCTAGGCCTGTGTCTGGTGCCTGACCCCTGTAGGACTGGGGAGGCATCCTGGCTCAATTCAAGCCTGAGGTGCATTCACGGCCTCCCACCCCACCCCCTGCTGCCTCTAGACGTGGCCCCGGGCCACTGCCAAGGCTTCCCCTGCAGCTGTTCACCCGCCCTATGCTTCGTGACTTCTCTTTTGGGTCTGTGGGACCAGGGCGACAGCCATCGGGATGTTAGTCCAGATGGCCCACGCCCTGCCGCTGCGGATCCTCTGTCCTGCCCAAAGACCTTGTCAGTGTTCTGGACTTTCCTCCCCGCTCCCCGCTGCATTTTTGTGGTGCCCCAAGAATCTCCCAGATTTCACTGGAGACTTCTCTGCCCTCTGCCTCTCAAGAGGCTCCTCAGCTGTGAAATGATAGATTGTGCCAGATAACACTAAATTCTGAGACCTCACAGAATGCAAAGGTGTTGAGAATTTAACTACCTAGGGAGGGTGGGACAGGCTAGGACTGAAAAGGGGGAGGAATAGCTTCTGAGTGTGTGACATTCCAGGGCTTAAACTGTCTTGAGCTTTACCTTGAAGTGAGTAATAAGTGATAGGAGATGGGAGTAGTCTTAGGTAATCAGAATGGTTGCAATAGCAGCCAGGTGCAGGGGGTCACATTATTTGAGCCTGAGGGTGGGGGGGGGTGCATATTAGATTGGGGAAGACTTGAGGGACTGAAAGGAAATCCTGCTCTGACTCCCTGCTCCTTCTTTCATTAGGTCAGTAAATGTTCTGGATGTCTGTGGGAGGAAGAGGTGTAGAAACATGAGGTTACCAGTTCTGTGCTTTCCATAAAGTTTTGGAGCAACTATTACAAAGATTAATCATATTGTAAAGGACAAAAATGATAAATCTGAGGTGGGAAAAGAAAGATTCAGAACACACATTAGAAATTTGAGGGATGATCTCTAAAGCAAAGTTTTTCTTTTTTGAAGAGAGATCATTGATGAAGACAGAAATGAGGCATCAAATCTCAAATTTGAGTGCTGACACAGCTTTAGTGAAATTGCATAACATCCAGGAAAACCTCAAAAACTATCTCTGCACTTAGAATTCTGTCTCTAATTTAATTGCTATTCCAGAGTGAGCACGTGCCAGGTGGATTCTAGACGTATCAGGGGATCACTTTGTAAATTATATAAATGTCTAACTACTATGCTGTACACATGAAACTAATATAAAATAATATTGAATATCAAATGTACTTGAAAAATAAAAATTAAAAGAATTTAAAATTTTTAGAAAAGAATGAACACAAAACATATTTTCAGATGTACAAAGTTTAAGGTTATGACCCACACAACCTTGGTAGAAGAACTACTAAAGAAGGTGCTTCAGAATGAAGGAAACTGAACTCAGGTGAAAGAAGAAGGTTTCAAGAAATAAAGAAGAGCAAAACAGCTGAAAAAAACCTGTCGTTTACTGAGAATACCTAGCTGCTGCAAATCACAGGGACAATCACCAACTTAGAGAATTTTTTTTTAAGGGTGAAGATGAAATAGAGTTAGGTAGGTAGAGTCTCAGAGGGTAGAGATGTTTCAAGAAAGTTTCAGACGTATACACGCAGAATTGTAGAGCTATTAGAGGAGCCTGAGCTCTCCTAGGCATGGGCCTGCATTGTGTGCCTGCTGGGCTCAGTCATTGGCTGGTAGCAGGGGTGTTTCCTCTGTCCTTTTGGAGTGGGTTGTGGTAGTGGCTGGTGGGCCCACAGTAGTCTCTCCTTCAATTACACTCCCTACTGTTAAACAGATCTAAGTGCTGCATTTTCATGGCCACCACAATGTAAATGGGCTTGACTTACAAGATAAAGACAGAATTTGTCAAGTTTGTTTGTTTTTAATTTTAGCTATATGCTTTAAAGGAGACATATCTAATACATAAGAACATAAATAATTTGACTGTAAAAGAATGAAAACACATATGTCAGAGATGCTGAGCAACCCAAAAGAAGGCTGAAGTCTACAACACATGAAAAACAGTATTAGGGTTAAAGAGAGTAAATTCTTAAATAATAGTTTAATTTTCCAGAAAGCTACAAAAAATTTAAATTGGCATGCACTTAATAAACTAAAAATAATAAAGAAAAATGAGACATAAATTAGGAGAAATTTGTCAAACTCATTACAGTGAAAAATTTCAATACTCATTTGTCAAGAAGACAAAATATTACTTAAAACATGGATTTGAACAATAAAATAAACTTGGTTTAATGGGTTTTTAAATAATCCTCTACCCAGTTATATATTGAAACAGTTTTCAATAAAATTCAGAGAAATAGTACCCTACAGTGATGTGGACCCCAGCTTGTGGGGTCCACCACATTGTAGATGAGATATGAGAAATTCACATGGACTACTGAATCCTGTGGAGTAAAAGGGACAGCATGGCTTCTCTCTCAAGGGGAGAAAAAGCCTCCACCCTTATCTTAACAAACTTTATTTCTTTTCTGGGCACATTACATGATGGTCCTCATTTACTATGCACAAGTTTGCTTTAGGTGGTTACCTTTAAAAACAAAGACGATGCTGCTAATCACATCATAGAAGAAGGATATTTGCAAATGCAAAGGGAAAAATGGTTGAACTGGTTACACTCATCCTTGGAAGGTTTAGCATGGATTTTGGGAAGTTACAGTAAGCACTTTCTGTCTCAATTCAGGGTAAGGGAGTTTTAGAAGGAGCAAGTCTCATAGTAGTCTAGATAAAATGCAGGCCTGATTCCCCACAGGAGAACCTATCTGTTGCCATGGGTCCTGTGCATCTCTAAGTGGGAGCTGGGTCCACGCCACACAGAATGGTGTCCTATACTATAGACCATGTATTCAGATCACAATGTAATTAGAGTAGAAATTAGCAAAAATAATTTTTGAAAATATGTCAGTTGAAAATTTAAAATCTTATGTGTAATACTTATGGATCAAAGGAAAAATCAGAACTAAAATTAAAATATACTTAAAATCAAATGGCAATAAAATATGACATATGAAAACTTATGAGATACAATGAAAGAGAAACTTAGAAGAAAATTTGTGACCCCACCCAAAAAGCATACGTTACAGAAAAAAAGGTGAAAATAAATGATTAAATAATTTTCTAAAAATGTTAGAATAAAAATAGTAAAATAAATTCCATGAAAATGAAAAGGATAAGAAGATTTTAAAGAAAGAATAAACAAAGTAAGTAGATTATAAAAATTAAAAGAGTAAAAACAAGCCAAAATTATTTAAAAAGTTTACTAATATAGATAATACTATAATGAAATTGATCATAAAATAAGTGCTTCCAATGTTTTAAAAAATATATAACCTCCCCCATAAGCTATTAAAAATACCCTTTTCTTTGTAGTTACCTCATGAAGTTACCACATACTTGCTGCATATATCTTTATGTACACGGCTTTATAATTAAAACAGTAAATCTAACTTTCACACCTTTGTGGCAATATCCTCCCTGTTGTGAATGCATAGAAAAGAAAATTAATAATAAAGTAATATAAAGGAATTAAAAAGAAAATATAACTACAGGTAGAACACATATATAAAAATCAAAAATATTCTGAACAACTTTCTCCAACATATTTGAATAAATGTCTAAATTCCTAGAAAAATGTTACCTAAAATGATGGATAAAAGCAATAAAATCATTAAATAATAATCCAGTGTGTTAGTTAGTCTTCTTGGGCTTCCATAACAAAGACCATAGGCTGGGTGGCTTAATTCAACAGAAATGTATTACCTCACAGTTCTGGAGGCTGAAAGTCCAAGATCAAGGTGTCAGAAGGGTTAATTTCTTCTGAGGCCTCTCTTTCTGGATTGCAAAAAGCTGCCTTCTCACTGTGTCCTCACCTTACCTTTTCTCTATGCCTGCACAAAAGAGAATTCTGATATCTCTTTCTCTTCTTATGAGGACACAAGCCCTATAAGATTAAGGCCCAACTCTTATAACCCAATTTAACCTTAATCACCTCTTTAAAAATCTCATCTTCAAATATGGTCATATTGTGTGTTATGGCTTCAAAATATGAATTGGGGGTGGGGTACACAACTTAGTCCATAGTATGCATGAATATTAAATAAATTCAGCAGTTTAAAGACTTCCAACAAAGAAAATACTGGCCACAGATGCTATCATAACAAATACTCAATAAGAAGATTATTGGGATCGTATTCAAAGTCTTTCTAAGGAAAAGAAAGTAAAGAAAAACCCTCAGAAAATTTTATGAAGCTATTACCTAATACCAAAACCAACTAAGGACACTACAAAATTAGGAAATTACAGGCTAGCCTCCCTCATAATCATAGGTTAAAAAAAAAAGAAAGAAAACTAAAGCTAATAGAAAACTCAATTCATTGGCATTTAAAACATTATAATGGCCAAGTTGGGTTTAATATAACATGTTAAAATTGGTTTTATATGCATTAATGCAATTAGTCATATTAATATATCACTGGAGAAAAATAGATGTTCATTACAAATATACATAAAATAATTTAGATAAATTCAACACTCATTCATAATTTGTAGCAAACCAAGAATAATAGGGATTTGATTGCAGAAGATGGTAGAACAGGAAGACTCAGAACTCACCTCCTTCCAAAGACATACTAGATGTATACATATAGAGAAATTCCTCCTGGAAAACAGCTGAGG